AGAACCTGAAGAGAGTTTATTGAAAGGAATATTAGACTTTTTTTCACTGGTAACTTTCAGTTTTTGCAGTTTACGTGTTTATACTCTGAAGAAGTAATCGTCACCAAGCTATGAAACGTCAGAAATTCAATTTTCCACCCCTTGGAATACTACAAATGAGTTATTGCAAAGGTTTGTTTTGTCATTTTTATTCTTCTAACAAATACGAAGGGAATATGACGAGAGAAATCCATAGCATCATTGGGAAAAAAACATAACAAGAAGCGTAGTTTCATAAAACGAAATATTTTCTGATATCATCGCCTACTTCTTACCTTCATATTTAAATTCATTAACACATACAACGATTTATTGTATAATAAGTTGCGTCATTAACAGTGTTTGAAAACTTTCATTATAACAATATTATGTGATAATCTAGAGGGTAATATGAATATGTAGATAGGTAAAGTAGTTTCTAGGTGAAAAATATGGAAGGCGGTTATTATTTTTATTTTGCTGACGAAAATGAAAATAATAGGTGATAATTACAACCTACTATCAATTACATAAATAATGTAGGAAAACGATAATGACTGGTATGATCAACAATCAAGAATTTGTAATTAATAATTCAGCTTTAATAAATGACTGCAAAATATAATCAATCTTTTGGTCATTTAGTAAGTACTATATACTGTTTAATTGACCCAAGAACAATGAACTCTCTTGATAATTTCAATTTATTATCATGCACAAATGAGTTTAACAGTCTATATAGTAGGATTTATATAAGCTATAGTGTTGAGCATATTCTTCAATATGTTTAATAAATTTAAGTAGTGAAATATATTTAAAGTTCAGCATATATGATATATCAAATACTTTTTAATTTATCATACATTATTCTATTCGGTATAAACGTAAAGCTTTTGGAAATGATTTTTAGGGCAAGTTACCACTTACCTCATGATGCGGTTAAGTGATTTTCATAATGTATGTCCTATCCACCTCTAACGCCTTTTCTAACTTCTCCTTCAGTTAGATGCTGGTTTGTTCTCTCCCATAGTAGGCTGTTGCTGATGGTATCCGGTCAACGGACAATGAATATTTTGCGTAGACAATTCTTTAGAAATACTTGTACTCTTTTGATGATTTTTTCCTATCTAACATTTATGTACATTATTAGTGTAAGGTGGTTCACTACTCTAGGACATAGCAACTGTGTAGAGCTTCCTGGGTTCGATATAAGATCAGTTCATGATGCAAACGAAGAAAAATATATATATGACTAAAGTTTGTGTGAAATTTGAACATAAGTATATGTATCAGGGTTTTCCCGACTCAAGCTGCTACTTTGATGCGGTGGTCGGGCTTGCCTATCGTGATGATCCAACCGAGCTATATTGGCTGGAACAATCGTTCCTCATGGTCCCACCATGCCAGTCAGGTCGATTGGAGAACGGTAAGAATAAAAGCAGCAACTCAAGGTCTGAGGGCGAAGTTGTGCTGCAGACTGTACAGAGGTGTGACGGCAGTAAGATGCTTCTCTCGGACAACCAGCAACTGCAGCGATGCTACTTTCCCACAAAGGAAGGGTATGGTTAGAAAAGGTCGACTCTAAAAATGTCACACCTCATCTTACCTCACGGATTTCCGTCTCTGGCGGTAAGGATTTTTGAAGAACGGAACTAACACGTTAAAAACGTTCCACAAAAAGTATGTACGTGACTAGCCTCAAGCAGTTGTGCCTTGGGCTCTGAGGTCACACTCCCAGGTCGTTAAGACCACTACTAATTCAACTTCTTTTTCAGGTTCCTCAAGAAATACCCTTCCACGGTGTGGGCAGCCGGGAAGAGGCACCAGCCTTCATACCTGTAAGAGCACACGAGAACAAGTTGGTCACCATCAAATCCTTCCTACACCTAATTACTCTCTTATCTCCACGATTCGAGTACTCAGAACGTTATTTTCGGTCTCCTGAAACCACGCTGGAAACTTCACGTAGGAGCTTTCAACGTGCGAACACTGTGCCAAATAGGACAACAGGCTTCTTAAGCTAAGACTTTAGAATCTCGAGCATACAGGATCCGAGTAGTGTCATTCATTTGACCTCTCCGTATCAAAATAATGAACCATATCAGTTCACGCTTCATGTATCTGGAAGGCCTGATGCTGCTGTTGTTGTTGTCAATATTACGTTCTGATTAGAGATGAGTAAATAGAGATAGCTAATCACTTTATCAAAATTAATGTGTCAGTTCAATTTTATTTTTTGCTGAATAATCCATACATCTGTCTTGTCTGTGTAACAACAACATGGATATTAACTAAAAACTCTACAGATTAAATCTGGTGTTATAAAACAAATATTAACACTCTTGGAATCAAGTATCTTCTATACTTCTTTTTCAAGATATCATCTGTATTATGTTACAGTAGAGGCAGATATGTTGAAGTTTTTTTGTTTCCACTATTCTTTCCTTATGATAATTCATCCATAAATATTGGTTTTCTCATAATAATTGTTCCGTAAAAGTTGCTTTATGCTCCTTTCATCTATTTCCAAATAATTACTACAAATAATAACACTCAGTCCGATTTAATGAAATTCAAGCTACAGTAAATTTTATGATTGTTAGTTGGCTAAAAAATGTTTTAGACATTTGAATACGTTTATTTGAAAAGAATTTCTTTGAAAGAGACATTTTCCTATATGTCCCAATTTATGAATAGTGTATAGAATAAGAGATGATGTAGGTAGACTTATAGCAACTTCATTTGTTCAGCACTACAATTTATCTATAATCAGACTGTAAATATGAGTCGTATTTTGAATTCTTAATTACAAGTAAATATACAGCAACTCATCAATTTACCTCTGAATTATTTGGTATCTGAGGAAGTATCATACTGAATTTTCTTCACAAACATTTCGATAAAGAATATGATGTTGACTTAATGTTATAACAAATCGACATAAAATATATGAATTGAGTTATCTGCAATAATTTTTGTGTCTAGCCAAAAATTTGGGAAATCTTACTGAAACAACTTAGTCAGTAGTAAGTTAAGTATATCTATAATGTTATTGTTTACATTTAAGTAACAAATTCACCAATCTCATATTCAAACATTTTCAGATCATCAGAATTCGACAAAATTACTGATGACAGAAATGGTAAGATATACGTTGATCCTTTTTTTTATTAAGAAAAGTTCATTTTTACAATGACTCCACAACATTGAATAAATTCACTTCGATTCATTAACTTGTTATCCCTGAATAGGGAAATCATTTTTTAACACTGGAACAGGAAGTTACTGATCATTTGAATAACTAAAAAAATTTGTTGTTCAATTCATGTTTAACGTTATTTTTCATTTATAAATCTTATATCCTTAGTCTTGAATTGCTATATCGTAGAAGTCAGTTTTTAATATACTATATTATTGTCATATTTTAGCATATTTGTAATTGTCTAAAGATAGTTGCATCTACCTATGAATCCGAAATCGTTTGCAATGGCGCAGGTGCATTCAATCTTTATGTTCTCCCAAATTATAATCTTCTGAATTCTTCATGTTCCTTTGTTCCTCTTTCCAAATTTATGTCACTGGATTATACTCCTTGAATAACATCTTCAAACCCTAATGTTTCCGATTACTGCTTATACTTTTACTATCTCCACCATTACGGGATTTGAATCGACAATTGTATCTGTGTGCTAATGTGGTATGGCAACTCGAACTGATGTACGTACGTACGAAGTTCTACGTTGTTACTGACAGACTGACTGACTGAAATTTGTTAGTTCTCGTATACACGACTATAAATGCTCAATGCAGAATTAAATATATTTGAAGAAATAAAGCCTTTTCGAAAAAATAAAATAATAATCAGAAAGAACAATCAGATTAAAAAAAAACAAATTACACAACTCTTGTTTTGAAGAATCATAGGATTTTAGATTTCTGAATTTGAAAGAACCTCAAAACAATAATAATTATTATTAGAGTAACAATAATAACGATCACAACATCTACAATAGTAAAGAATTACGATCAAGTAATAAAGGCAGGAGTTAAGCGATAATAATGATGACGTGAATTTTTGAGAGAACAACAAAGAAATTGCATAGTTGATGGGATGAAAAAAAACAAACAAACGCAAAGCAATGAGAAAAGAAAAACAATCGATAAAATAGAAAATAGAGTAAGTTGTACAATTTTTTTCACTTATCTATAGAAATATTTTCTCTTTTCTTCATCTCTATCTGACTATCTATCTCTATCTGCTTCTTGCAACAACCTAAACACTATGTTGCTTGTATATGGATTGTTTATTTCCTTTCATTTTTTTTGCATTGACATTAATTGTGTGCAAAATAATGATTGAAAGAAGTAGGCATACACATACACGCACACACACACTCACATTGAACTGATCATAATCATGAAAGACTTGAGTAGATTATTTTCAATAACAATGTTGATGATATCCAACTATTATCAGTATTTTAGTAATAAACATATTGAATAAAATTGATTGTTATACTCAACAATCCCAATCTCTTTTGGGTGTATTTAGACCAATATTATCCCTGATAGTAAAGATGTGTTATTTTTTGAAAGATAAAATAGATGTTTCCACTTAGTTAATTTGTTACTATTTTTTTGTTTGTTTTTGTATAATAAAGAAATAAAGCCGATGAATAAGATTGTTAAAGAAGAGAAGGTTTTTTCTTGTTATAAACATGTCTTTTTGTTTGTTTGTTTTAGACTACTATGATATGAATATATACAGAATTATATAACAAAAAGCTTTGATTACATTGGACCTTGATCATTTTTTCATTCAGAATGTATATTGTATGTATGTATCTATGTATTGGCTATCTATTATGTCAATGTTTAGAATGATGATGATAAGAAATGCGAATACTTCCTTTAATTCAATTTTTCATTATCTCATTATAATCAGTAAACAATCAGGGAAAAAATATTGATTATTAAATGATTTAAGTAATTTTTTCTGATACAACTGTTGATAGAATTATTTGATCAGAGCATAAATTATTATTATTACTTTTATTATTTGTTGTTAAATCAATATTGATCGAAGTATTGGTATTGTCAGATTTTAATGAATTAATTTTTGATTTATCCAATCGATTTTTAGATAATTTAGAAGATTTAATAGATTTGTTTATTTTCACATTATCAATAATAGTATGACTAGATGAAGTATTTATATGCTCAGGGCTAGATCCAACACCTCCAGTGACTGTTGTTATAGTTATAGGAGTTTTAGTAGTATTCGTTGTTATAATAGTGTTTACTGTAGTATTAGAATGAGTAGAATTTAATGTACATATGATTGGTGTATCATGTGATGAAATCGAGCCTTTATTATTATTATTATTATTATTATTATTATTATCGTTACTCTTTATAATTGTTTCTGACGAACAAGTTGATAGTAAATTATTAGTGTCAAATGATTTTTCTTTTTTTAATTTTTTCTTTTTCTTTTGTTTTCCATCTTGATTCAATTCATCACGTTCATCAACAACTTCAGCTACAGATGGTGGTTGTGATCTTGATGAAGTTATACGTAATTGTTGTAAGACAGTAAAACGTAATACATCAGATAAACTAATTATACCATCTACACGATAATCATTTGTATTATTCACAATTACAAGACTACGGTACTAAAATATAGAATAAAAATAAGAAACAAATTGATAGGAGGTATTTAAAAGCTGAAATTTATCGTAATCTCCATACCAAATAATATCAATAATATGTTGGCTGTATTCCTACTTATTCAAAAATATGTAGAAGGGTATTATGGGGATTATAGTAATTTAATAATTGATTTCATAAGCTAGACCACTATACTAGTCTTATACTAGGATGAAATGGCAGTCAAGTGTTCCCAGGTTTTTCAATGATGATCTAGCTTCAATTGATTCATGAATTCAATTATTCAATTAACCAATAGGTGTTCATCGCTTTTCATAATACATTCAAGTGATGTGTAAAATAAATAAAAATAAGTTTGATTATGTGATCATGAAATCAAATAGAATTCTACGAAAGTTGAATAAAACTATTATAGACTTGACAAAACAAAATTACTCAGATTGAAATCATGAGTCAATTGAAGATAGACCACCATGGAAAACCTGAAAACACTGGACGGCCATTTCGTCCTGGTACAGGACTCTTCAGCAGTGCTCATCCACGATCTCGCACTCCGCGAGATTCGAACCGAATACCTATCAGTTTCGCTCCAGGCGCAACTTCCTGGATTAGTTGAAGTTAGACATTAACACCATTGGATGCCGGTTCAGTGGTCTAGTAGTTGAGCACTCGCACACGAGACTGGTAGGTTCTGGGTTCGAATCTCTCGGGGGGCAGGATCATCGATGCGCACTGCTGAGGAGTCTCATACTAGAACGAAACGGCCGTCCAGTGCTTCCAGGTTTTCCATTGTGGTCTAGCCTCAATAGACTCATGATTTCAACCAGTGAAATTTCTAAAATCTCCACAAACCCCTTCTGATAAAATAAAACAAATTTATTTTCACTAAAACTATTATTCAAAATAACAATGAAAACTTTGCAACTCAATCAATTAACTTAAACAATCTAACTCAACTTAAAATTTGATAATATTTATAATCTTAGACGGATTTGTAATCTTTCAAGAAAGAAAAGTTAGAACAATTAGTCCCTTTTAGAAATTTCGATAGAACAATGAAAAAATGAATTTGATTTGAAAAAAAATCTGATGTATTTGCATTATACCAGATTGTTCGAAATGTATAGCGTAAATACATTACATTTTTCAGATCAACTCGATCTTTTCATTGTTCCATTGAAAAAAAGTTAAGAATGTTTATAGATTGAAATGAATTCATGCTAATTCATAACTTCTTATCAGCTCCATACGGATTACTTTTACAATGATTAACATAATTATAAACAAATATTTCATAGAAATTAGTCTGTGAGTTTGTAGACGAATATTTGAAAAATAACAATATTCATCATAACCAGGAAAATAAGACAAAAAGTTTATAAATACAACACGCAATTAAGATGGATGTTTAATTAATGTATATTGACCATTTGTTTATAATTATACTGATAATTGTAATTTTAGACTGTATATAGCTAATGAGAAGCTGTGAAATAGAATTGTAGTGTGTGTTACTGATATCGACAGATATAAGTGGTATGTATCATCAATCGAAAGTGAAATGCCTGGAGGCAGAAGGTTAAGAAAGATCGAAAAGAAGAGAATGAGAACAGAGGATGATTAGTGTGGAAACGAAAGAGCAATGAAGTGTGAGACGACTGACTGATATTTTGCAAATGAAGTATTTACTATATGATTTTCAGATGTCACTAAGTTATTCTGTAATTTTGAGTCCAAGTACATTCGACTGTCCTCACTGATGTTCTCATTCACTACAGAATGAATTTATTTTATTTTAGAAACTTTGTTGTTCTTACTAAGTTTAAATTTATCAAAGGATCTGGTTGAATGAAATTCTTAAAGACTTTTACAATGTTTAATGATAAGAAAAATTGAGAAAAATTTTTTTTTTAAAACTCAGTTCCCATTCTCCGACAAATAATTTAAACAAATAATTGAAGTTAACTAAATTATATACATATATCTATACATATAAAAAGAACATCCCTAATTCATGTAACAATTTTATTTTATACATCAATGATTTACTTCAGAACAATCCATCTTCATTATAGTTTGTTTATTTGTTTGTTACTAGTATAGGGGTTGTGGAGATTAATACATTTTTGATTGAGATCATGAACCAATTGATGCTAGACCACCATTTTCGGAGACCTGGAAGCACTGGACGGCCGTTTCTTCCGATTGGGGAATCCCCAACAGTGCGCATCCAAGAGCCCACACGCGGGGTTCGAACCCAGGGTCTTCAGTCTCGCACGCGAACGCATAACCTACTGGACCACTGAGTCAGCATCCAATGGTGATAATGTCAACCAATCCACGAAATTGAGCGACCAACTTCCATTGTACTGAGGTAGATACCTGTCTCTACCCGACACGGATTAGCTCCTCTGGTCACGGCTTCTCACTAGAACTCCGAGAATTCCCTCACGAAGCTAGTCACTAGTGAGCACATGTTGATTACTAGTATAGGGGTTGTGGAGATTATTAGGTTTTTGAATGAGATCATGAACCGATTGATGTTATCATTTATTTTCTTAAATGTATAATTAAATGAATAAAGTTTATCAAGTAGATATGACTTTCTCTCTTTCTCTATCTATCTCTATATGATCACGAGTTCAGTTAATCTAAAATACACGCAAATTATTTCATCATAATTTTTGTTTTTATAAAACCTTATAAAACAATCATAAATAAAATATAGTAATTGGACAAGTGGTAATCGTATTGTGAAATCTATTTGTTAGATAATCAATACTAAGTAATCCTGTTAATTTATGTGTTATTAATTGAGTAGAATTTTAGATCAGAAATTGTTACTACTTAAAATCAATAGTGTTGAGATGGATCAATATACACAAATACGCGTAATACAATTTCACCCTTATATACTACTTGTTTTCATATTTGTATTTTTATTATAGATAATTAATTATTTTTTCATAATATTATACCGAAATGATTTACTATCAGTCAGTTTTTTTTTTTAACAACTTACCCCTGTTTTAACTAATTTTTCCATTACATAAAGTAAGTTGTTTGATGCAAGACATATTTCCACAGGTGGTTTTCTTTGTGTCTCATCCATAGATTTTGTGTTTGTCTACAAATAAAAAGAAATAGTCAGAAGTTGCATGTATACTTTGTATTTCCTTGAAAGCTACGTAATACATTGTAACAACATGATTTATGTAGTTAAGTATTAATCAGTTACCTATAACAAATATATACTTGTAGTTTATCATCAGCTGTTGTAAACGTTAACATCGGAAGTCTCAAACTACATTTCACTGTTCAGTTTCAGTGACAATCTAATCCTTAGAATACACAGTTAGTTATATACAGGTTGTGTACAGAAATGACATAAAACGAAGAACTACATTATACAAAAATTGTAGCTACTTGGCATATGAGCCTTAATGATGACTTTAATCAACATGCATTTGTTGTGTATAAACTCGTACTTTTTGTAGCTCGAAGTTAAAACATAATTCATGAGCATAATAAAAATGCAGTGAAATTAACGAGAACTGACGAGAATTAAAGTAAGACTGAAGCATAAAGTAATAGTCATTAAAGCTTGTTTTATGATATATGCACACTGAAATACTAGTACTTCTATGTGAGGATACGTAAATGAGAAGAACATATCTTCTTATTTGATATTTAGTTATCAATTACTGCTATAATTCACAGTCAATATTACCATTAACGTTTTGGATTAGTCTTTGAAATTTCGACTTGTCTACCTCAATGCCCTCTAACATGTTCATCTGTAACATGTTTTCATGACAAGCATTTTTCCTACTCATCTAAGTTCGGATTTACAGGTAAACAGCTAATTCACTTAAGTAACGGTTTTCCCGGGAATTCATTCTTTGCCGTTCACGAGACTAAACATTTTAGTCGGTGAAAATATATCCTGTTCTGCCTTTTAATCCATCATATATATGAATTATATAATCAATCTGTTTTGATAATATGATTTTGTGACGTTTATGAAGTAATTTATAAGTTGTGTAGATCATCACTTACCTTGCATATATCAAGTACTTCTTGAATGGTCAAGTTAGGATTTTTATAAGCTCCATTTAATACGAGAGTCTGTAGAAAACCAAGCAAACATTTAAATAGAAATGAACACAATCAAATTATTTAAGCATGAGAAGAAATTGTCTAAAAATGAAACACGAATCAATATTGACATTTGTGTGCATTCTGGGATTGTCTTCATTGCCTCCCAATACCATCTACAGATGAGTGAACATGTGTTATATCAGAGTTAAAATACTCAAGGATCACTCTGATTCTTGTTTTCATTTAGTATATATATATTGGCTGATCAACCGAATATTCATGGAAGAAGTTATGTGATCCTCGGTGCATATAGTGAACTGATGGAAATTACTAAGTATTGAATGATGGATTATTATTTGATAACTGAAAAAAAGCGATTATTTATCATAATAAATGATTGAAAACATATTGACCTTTTTTTAACAAAATACCAGGCGTCCATCAAGTTTCAGGAATTAGGCTTTACCAATGAACTATCTTATTATTTTACATATATATACTAGTTACTGATAATCATGTGATCACTTTCATAAATCGTTTTAGATTATTTTATTACATTACGTGCTGATTTTTCTCACGTCAATGTTAAGGAATCAAAACGGCAAATGTTTGCTAGAGAAATTGGAATTTCCGTGTGACGCTAACAATCTTCTTTTTTCATCGTTTTGCTGTAGATGAGCAAATATTGAAAAAAGTATATCTTCCAAGACTAATTCATAGTTTATTATTATCTATATTTTATTGTATAATTATTCAATAATTGCATTATTACATTTATGGATTATTCTTATGATAGACTTCCATTAGACTCGTTGACTAGTACCGTACGTTTTACCTTGCCTCAATAATAACTAATTGATCATTAACCATTTAACTCTGTTTTCTTTCATTTTGGCGTAATTATGCTTAAATGGTCATTTCATATTCATATTAATGTCAAACCAGAAAATTAGTCTATATTGTTGTACAAATTAATTTACATAATAAATACTAATGCACTCCTGCCTGCTGTATTCTATTTTCTGGTTGAAGACCGTAATTGACGTAGGGCATACTTTTTGATTCAATAAGTGTTAAAATTTATTAGTGGAACTTAATTATGGGGACGGCTTTAGGAATTTATAAAAATGACTTAGAAATCTCAACCACTTATCCTATTCAAAAGTGTCTGGAATTAGTGTCGGAATAAAATCAGGAGCTGAGGCAAGGAATCAACATAAGAAATTGGGGTTATGGTTATCTTCTCGAGCTAACATCAGCTATAATTCATGAATCCTATTTAGTCATATGGATGAATGAATTTTGGGAACAGATTTGAGAATCACGATCCGGAATCTGATTATTTCGTTCCCACTCTTTAGGTTCAGAGATTTTTGTCAGCCGAACTTGAAGTTAACTTTGCCAATGGAAACATATAATTAGTTAAAGCTTAAGATACTAGACAACAGCCGAAATTGCATAGTCGGGGTAAAATAGTAATACAGGATTGTGATCAATAAATCTCTTCAGATATAAATTAACATCTGGTTTATGACACGTATGCTGTTGCACATTTAGTGATCCAAGTAGACCAAGTATTTAGTCGTTTTGTTCATGTTCCCAGAACTCTACCTAGTAAAGATCTGGTGAAGTTTTTATTCATTAAACTATGACTGTGTTCTTTAACTTAATCTTATCCGCTTGTTGTTGCTCATAATATTTACCTGAATGTATTAATAATTTTCACACCGGAAAATTATGTATAATTAGAATAAACAAAGTCTATTAAGTGGTTTTAATTCATTGTTAGGATTTCATTCATTGGAGTAAAACAAGTTCATCCACATTTCTTAACAATAAAAATAATATATCTATAGACCATCTAATACTGATAAAAGCTGTATTAAGTAATCTATGATACACTCTCCAAATCGGAAGTTCATAAACTTAAAATGTGTGTAAAAAGTAAAATAATTTTACAAAGATTGATTCATTCATCGCAATCGTGTACTAAATAAGTCATCGTTCTCTAAAATTGTATATTTCTTTACTGGCACTGGTAATCTGTATACTAATGTGGAGATTAAATTTACTGTAAACATTATCACAGTAAAGTTTAAACACATAAAAAGTAAATCAATAAGTTACACTTACGAATACATCAAATTTTGAAAATATATTAACTAAACGACGATTAGTTATTGAATCTACAACTGGTAAAGCAGTTACACAATTCTCTCGAAATAATAAAAGTGCATCAGCTAGACGAGTAGATGGTGTAACCAATAAAATGGATCCATGCGTTCCAATATTCAAATCTGTTAAACTTGACTAAATTAAAAAGAAAGAAGGAAATAATACAGAAATTCAGTCAACTTTTATAAATATCTAAAAACAAAATTCGGTGTGACGATACTTTATGGACGAACTAATCAGATTTAGGATGACAGGTCTCGGATTTTGGCGCGAAATTCATTTTAGCTGATGTCAGTTCGAGATGAAAACCATAAATCTAATTCCTAACCCTAACCATCAACTGTAAATCATAATTCTTATTCTTCAAACTGTTTTATAACCATCATTTAGCCCTAGTAAGGAGGTGGACATTCCCAAGGTCACTTCAGTGTCGCCCAAAGGTCGTCCATAAATTATAGTCTCACTAAAAATTCGTTTACTGAAGAAATGTTTTTTCTTGTCATGAGGTAATGTAAAATATGTTATCATGAACTCTAATACAGTTATTTAATCAGCTTCAATTCTTTTTTAATTTATTATTTCGGTTGAGATTTAAAAAATAGTGAGGAAAAACCCTAAACATTTATTAGATCATTTACATTTATGTGACAACATAATTAGTTACATGCTATTACAACTTGTGATTTTAGTGGGTATTGACATGGTGATTTCAATCGGTTTTCTATAAAATTATGAATTGTGTTCAAAACTATCTGTCAATCACAGTTCCTACAATTCATACTATCGTAATGAGGGAAAATTAATAAGAATAAAGTTGAAAAGAGTATAAATGATAGTAAAACATTGAACTAGAAGAACAGTTCGACAAGAACAAATGAAATAAAAATAAAAAAAGATATCGTCATGCGTTCACTGTTGAATAACTTCGAGAGGGAATTCTCCGAATTCTGGTGTGAAACCGTAACCAATAGAGTTCAACTCTGTTGAGTGTTAGGCAATTATTCAACAAAAGCAATCCAACATGATTGCACAATATCGTGGATTGATTAAAGTTATACATTGACATCATTGGATACCGGATCAGTGGTGTAGAGTTTAGGCGTTTTTGCATTTAGATCAAAGGTATTGAGTTTTATTCTCGAGTGTGGGATCGTAGATGTGCACTGTTGAGAAGTCCCGTACTGGATGAAAACGGACGTTGGATGCTTCCAGGTTTTGGTGTTCTATAATTGATTGTTTCATGATCTCTATGAAATAATAGTTCGAATATAAGAGCTAGAGAAACACAGAATGGACAAAACTGTGATACCATAGTTAACCTTCACTTATCTCACCCAACATATTCGTTCATCGGTTATGATCATCCTGAATTACCAACTGGAAATTCGAACCTCTTGACATGGTTTAGTCATGAACGCAGTGACTGCTTGAATTGACTTGTTTGCGTTTGCTCATCTAACATAATAATGTGTTATACACCTTTACAAATTATTCCACTATTAGAAAAAGTTGTGACTGTGAACCCTAAAACAGTTACGGAGTTAATAAATGTAACTAACACTATCTAAACATTTTCTTTCAGATGTATTAAATGGTTAAGTATTGAGTTTTTAAGTTTAAAAAATTATAATCTAAGATGGAAGTGGAAATTCATTTCGAATTAACATTTACTAAAAGGATAGCAACAATGAAGATCAATTATTCATTGTCACACTTCATTGTTTAATCTAAGTGGATAAAAAGACTTGAAATATATTCTATGAATCATAAGTAACGATAGGTAGCTAGGACATCTAATAAAATGTTACATTGTACTAAGTTATATGAAAGTGAACTTTTTTCTCTTTACCACCTATCTAAGCCATGTCTCTAGCTGATTCAAATTCATAAAATCTGTGTGACAAATATACATAAATAGTGAATCATGCATTTATGGTTAATATCTTAAATCTCTATATCAGACCCCTATAGATGTTAAACGTATATCCTACTTAATCTTTTGTGATGTGGATAGAATGTGATATTTATGTTTCAGTTTTATTCATGTTTAACTAACAAAATTCTCTTTACTGTTCAATAGTTTATTGCTTTGTGTAATCCATTTTGTTTTTCGGAAGAACCGCTGTCACAAAATGAGAAAATTTTTAAATTTCATTACATAATACATATTACATGTGCTTTTTTCTTATGAATTGAAATGTACCCGTGAAGCATTGACTGTTTGCATACACCAGAGTTGGAGCAATAGCGTCAAAATACACTTGACAATCAAACCACCACTATGTTGATCAAATACAGTTAGGCAAAGATACAGTGTTCTTCCCGAAAAAAAATGTATTCCTAAAACATGTACTTCTTAGTTAGTTAAACGTTTTTGAAAATGTATGAATGTCTATGTATGTCTATGAATAATCAGCTATCAATAAGTAGTCTTTGCATACACATAACGACTTTGTAAATATGGAATAGTTATTTTAAGTTGTCATTTAAGCATATTTTATGGCAAAAAATCCTACTAAAATAGTCACGTTTTGTGATTACATATTGTTTAGGTAATTAACCTCGCTAAACTTCATTTATAAACTGGGTAAATGTTCAAAAAGTTCAATTAATGTTAGGAGAGTTTTAATTGATTGATTAATGCATGAGAATTTAGTAGTAGAATAATCAAGTGTAAGTATTTAACAGAAAATTGATCGCTATTAGAACAATCTTCACGCTTCAGTAAACAAACAGGAAACTATTCAAACCATGAATGAATACAGACTAGTAATCTATTCTTTCCTCTAGATTAGGCTGTCTTTATTTGTATATTTACGTTTGAACAGATTTATAAACGTTGTGTCAAAAGATTACTTTACTGCATCAATACATCTAATAACTAACTTTTTATTTAGAATGAATAATAATATACAAGAAACCATTCTTTGCTTTCAACTATTCATCAGTTAACTACCTTAATTAATAAGATATGTGTTTATGGGTTAACTGTCAACTAACTAGAAGAAAATAACAAGTGGCAGTAATTCTCAAAGTCTATTTTCAAAGAACTATGCTTGATTTCATTGAAAGATATCATGATTATTGACATTTAGCTTTAGTGTAAAAAGGAACGAAATTAAATGTTATATTCCGGCAAGAATTATGGATAGTAACTTTTGAGAACTATTTATGGACAAATATTATACGTATATTCTTAATGTATAACTATTCAGTAACTGGATTGTGTACATCTATACTTCTATTATTACAAGCCTTACTTTGGCTCACAGACTATTATTATACGACTTGCTGTTCTTCACTTATGCCCAGTCTATTAATTACTATCTCCCACATTTACAGCCATTTTTGTCTAGATCTTGTCCAAATGTTATTTTATACTTTATGGTACGATGTGATCTGTTTGGTTTGTATATAAACCTAGTATGTTTGAAATACATGATTCTTATCGCAGAGGCTGAGATCGTTGCTCTGTATTTAAGTCAGGGCTAGGCAGGAAGAAGGACCGATAAGTACTCTAGACTGCTCGTACAGGTTTTATGCGTCATTGGTCCGGTCGATGATTCATTGTTCTCTGATTGGCGGTATCATTACGTTATATATATTAATAGGGCACAAGGCCACAAGTTATAACATTTGCATGAACTGATTAGTTGGTAAGCAATATAGTTTTTAATCCGTACGCTTTATGTTCTATAACCAACTTTTAAAATTAAGTTATTTGGGGAATAAGAAAGGAAACTTAAGTGGTAAGTGTATTTTGTTAACTGTTGATTAAGTTGCCACTTATCTAAATTCTGCAATTTTCAGTCTTAATCAATGAAGATCTATTTGGGACGTGGTTGAATTTGAACCCACATTGTTACACTTTAGAGTTTTAGTTACTAACTTTTGATTGGTTAGAAATTATGCTTTATTAGTGAAATTAAACTTTAGGAATTAAAAAACACTTGTATTAAAATGATAACTTACTTGTAAAAATCTTGGTTGAGGTAATTTATTCAATTTTTCAAACATATACGTCAATAGTTTACGTTGAGTAAGTACATACAATATATTACCACATCCATCGAAAGGCGAATCCATAATTGGCAAATGATGTAACCGAAATCTTAACAATAATCGTAAAGCTTTAAAAATAGATTCTTCTGGATCACAGATAAGTAAACGTACAGGAAAAATATTCTGTGTTGGTTTATTCAGAAAACATAGTGTTTGGTTGTTTTTATTGATAGAAGTGTTATCAATTTGAGTTCTCATTTCCACATCGCCAACATTGTTTTCATTATCACCCAATGTGCATTTCACTGTATTGTCTGACAAATTTTGATTTGATATGGTAGATGATAATTGTATTACTGGAAGGTCCGACGATAATGACTTTGTACTAGAACGACTGCTGATGCTTCTCCTACTACCACTACTAATACTACTACTACTACTGCTATCACTCCCACTGTCATTACTACTACCGCTATTACTATCGCTGTCGCCATTACTAGATGCTAAACGTGAGCTTGATGACGACGACGATGTATTGATTGACGGTGGCCAAGATGTTGTACTAGTATGCGATTTATCCATTGATTTTTCCACATTTTTACCAGTAGACGATGTAATTTGTAATGATAAACGATGTGTCCTGTCAGCTATGAGCATATCTAAAAAATATTGTTATTTAAATATATATATATATAATTATTTTTCCATGTGCGAACAAAATCTTACGTACAATTTATGAGTTTTAACTTCATGATGGTTTTAATTAAGAAAGGAAATTCATGGAGAACAGTTAGATAGTTTATTTTATGAGTCGATTTTAACTACAAAAGTATTATCAACAAAGGAAAACTAAGCATTTGTTTCATAATTTGAATGAGATCTTACAGAAATGCGAAATATCACCTAATGAGACGTTAAATTTGAAACGTTTGATTCTCTTGATGAGCGCATCAATGATTTAAACAGTTAGCTAATACCCACTGCCTTACAATTCTGATTTCAGTCCATTTCCAGTTGTTTATATCAGCCTACTTTTGGTTTGATTCTTGTAATTAAAAATTATTATATTATATATGAGAAGCATAATAGTCATTCATACGATAAGGAAACCTGTAAAGTGACATTCTATGTAGATATATTGCCAGGAAACAATCCACTATTTCGTTCGTCAGTTAAAAGAAAGTAAATAAAACAGTCTTTTAAATGGTTGAATTTAAGTACAATGCAAATTAACTTTATTCATGAAGTTAGGCAAATACCTCCAAACTGAAATCATGAGCCGATCAATCCTAGAACGTCATTCAAAACCTGGAAGCATTGAACGTTCATTTGCTCCTAGTATGTGACTTCTAATTACTGCGCAACCATGATCCCGCACCTTTGATCTAAGTGTTGAAACGCTTAAACTCTACATCACTGATCCGGTATCCGATGATGGTAATGTCCAACTTTAATCAATCCACGATATTGCTCGATCATGTTGCATTGTTTTGTTGAGCAATTGCCTAACACTCAACAATGTTGAACTCCACTGGTCACGGCTTCACACCGGAATTCGAAGAATTCTCTCTTGAATTTATTCACTAGTGAACACGTGATAATTATCATTGATGGGTTCATGATTTTAGTAAAACTTAATAATCTCCACAACTCGATACTGATAAATAACATTAAAATTGAAAAACGGAGGTTACACCTCAACTATACTAAGTATCAAGAACGAATACTGAAAAAGGATTAGTTTTTTTCAGGATATAATATGTAAATATTTTAATGTTAAAATAGCATAACTAATGCTATGTGTATATATATTCATAAAGTTTTTATAGCATAATATGCATAAAAAGAATGACTTCGAAATCACGTTAATCACATGTAGATATAGCACGCGATTTGCTTCTATAATAACCCATTATGAGGTGATAAATATTTCTTTACAAATAAGACCTTCGATATACATAAACAAATATATTTCCAATACTAATTGTTTATAAAAACAATTAGATAGTGATTATTAACACCTGATTTAAATAAAATACTTTTAACTACTGAATTGAAAATGTATTATTGATAAACAATAAACCTAGAAGAATATTAATAAGATTCCAGAAACAAATACATTTCTCCCGTAACTTTTATAATGCTAATTGTGAAATAGGTCACATCTGAGAGTTATTTTATATCAAGTTCAGAGTTAACAGTAGTATGCACAATTAGCTCTTTTAATAATGAGAAACGGTTAACATTATATGACATAAATCATTTGATTCACGTTATCTGTTAACCCTCAAAGAATTTTAAGATCTTTTATTACACAATGAATCATGCTGAGCAACAAATGATACATAAAGTTAAAACTAGGATTGGATAGCATCAGTCAATCTCTTATTTACAATAAAAATTATCTAGTCTGATAGAGTGTGCTTTATATATATGTATACATTTATTCGTTTATTCACTATTTCTGAATAACATTTTAACATATTTGTGGCGTATGCTAAATATATCGCCGAACATAAGTAAACTGTAACACCAACCAAAATATGAATAGCTAGCGGCATAAGGCTAAGAAAATCAAGTTGAAGAATACAGAAAGGGAAATAGAAAAAAAAGGTAAATTGGAAGAATCAGACAGAATGAAAAGGATAATTCATGAAAGATTTTACAAACGACGTATTTGACGTATGGTTCTTATATTTTCCGAAGATATTCTGCAATTTTACATTAAATAATAAATTGGCTGTTTCCACCTAAGATCTCGTTCACTACATGTTTACGCCAGTAATCACTCTCACAGATTTCTATCCTACTCAACATTATTAAAAAAGAATTGATATTTCATGTATATAAACTTACCTTTCCATTGCTGTATTGTTATTTGATCCACGTCATCAATTTGTATATTCTTCAATTCATCAATATTCGATGGTACAGTTTGATTCCAACAATAATTTAACATTTGTACAAAATCAGTTACAGTAAGCATTGAAATAAAATTTTGATTTTTTGAATTCCACACTGGTGCAGCACGTATACCATTGTAAATAAGTGCTTTAAATGCTTTACCTATCTAATGAATAAAACAATTAATAAATAATAAAATTATGGATAAATGTTAAAAATACAGTTCAGTTCTTTGTTAATTGATGATAATAGTTTCAACCGAATTTTGATAGAACGATGAGAAGATAAAGTTTATTTGAAAATGTAATGCTTTGAATAGTATATTTATGAAAAGATTGTACAAAATGTATAAAACAAATATATCATATTTTTCAGGTCAAGTTCATCTCGTCATTGCTATATTAAAAATTATAACACAAACTAATGACTTTAAATGTAATTGAAAGTTAATAAATGATATATTGATCACAACAATACCCAAACGTCATGGATTTGATTTAGCTTAACGTTGAGGCGGCTCATTTCTAAGGTGTTTGAAATTAGGATTATATACATAATTAATGTTTACTAATTTATAAAGTGCTCTAGCTCCAGTTAAGGACCAAAGTGAGTATGATTTGCACAAGAATCCCATAAAAGTAACTCATTGAATTGTTTGTTGTTGGTGAAGTATAAACGTAATAAGTAGAAATATTTACTATCAGTTAGTGTTTGTAGGGAAGAATCTAGTTTCTTTGGAAAGTTCGCCAACGATATATTTATCAACAGTAAATAGCAAATCAAAGAAAATTAAGTCATGCCATCATTACCGTTATAATCTGTTTTTTGTTCTATATTAGGTGATTCAGTCTCTTTTTAATCCAAGCACGGATATTTAAAATGTTATACATTTTTTCAGTACACTTTTTTTTTACCTTTTTGCTTTTTGTACTTTTTTTTAACATGTATTGTTTTTAGTGTTTATACTGGGAAATCGATTGTTTACTTCATTTAGGTAATTCACTATCTTACTACAAATAAATATTTGGTACAATGATTGTCATTTCGAGAACTATACAAACAGGTTGAAATTGTTACAGCATCAAAAGTTCATATTTACTTCTTTTATTTGTTCATTTATGCAGAAAATTATATTTAATTACTATGAGAATCCAATGCTTTTGTTTGTTTGTTTTCTTTGACTATTATACATAAACATAATGTTACATGGCACAAGTCCATGAATTCACTGACTAGTGGACTGAGTCATGTTGGTGAGTGTAGACTACTTGGTTGGGGACCGCGAGATGATAGAAACCGATGGTTACAGACCTTGAATGACATGGCTCGAAATCGTTTGCAATGGCGCAGGCACATCCACTTTTTGTGTTCTCCCAAATTCTAATCTTCTGTATTCTTTCTGCCCCTTTTCTTTTTCTCTTTCCAAATTTATTTCACTGGATTATACTCCTTGAATAATATCTTCAAACACTAATGTTTCCGACTACTGCTTATACTTTTACTATCTCTACCACTACGGGATTTGAATCGACAACTGCATCTCTGTGCTAATGTGGTATGACAACTCGAACTGATGTACGTACGTACGAAGTTCTACGTCGTTACTGACTGACTGACTGAAATATATACATTCATGTATTTCAAAATTTTTAAATGTAGCAACAACATTTTCCATTGTTTACGTTTAATCCCAATAGTAATTTTAAATAAATTTAATTATTTAATTATTGACTTTTATCAAAAGTTTATAATTTATTGTTTAATATAGAATACTGCAAATCCTATACAGCAGAATGTACATAACATTTATTACATGTTATGTAGATATGGATTATTTAATTTTTTTTTAGAATTTTCGTAATTCAATTATAATAAAATTATTGTAATATTTTTAATGTGTTCTGAGAATCAACCGTCGTGTACAAACAAATTACTAACTAAATACGATTGGTTAAATGTTTTATCATACTATCTGGTTCATAAACAATTTACACGTACAACATTTGCTCAGAATCAAACTCTGAATCATCAAGCACGATATACATTATTCACTGAGTGGTGATCTATTTGTTTATGTTTCGGTAAAGGATTTGTGAAGATTATTAAGTTTTTGATTGCAACCATGAACCGATTGATGTTAGACCACCGTTGGAAACCTCGAAGCACTGGACGGCCGTTTCATCCTATTGTGGGACTCCTCAACAGTGTGCATCTACGATTCCGTTCACGGGATTCGAACCCAGGGTCTTCAGTCTCGCGCGTGAACACTTAACCTACTGGACAACCGAGCCGGCATCCAATGATGTTAATGTCTAACATCAACCAATCCACGAAATTGCGCGACCATCTTCCATTGTACTGAGGTAGATACCTGTTTCTATCCGACACGGATTAGCTCCATTGGTCACGACTTGTTCATGTTTCGATTTTAATCCAATTATGAATTAATGTAGTCTTATTAATCACTATCCTATCTTCATAGATCATTTTAAATTCAGAAACAATGTTAGCTACATATTATTCTTGCTTATTTGTTTTTTTGACGATTTAATACGCTCAAAATATTTGTCTAACTATGTTTAAATACGCGTACACTTTAGTGTTGAATACAAAGAAATCACTTTTTTCATATTCCAGTTCAATAAGCGTTGCTTATTTTGAATAAAAGAGTTTTTTCAAGAAATTGAATACATAAACATTATATACAATGTGAAAAAGTGAGAAATATTATCGAGAATATGTACCTCGTAATCAAACATTCCAAACACTTTGACCGTATGATAAGTTTCCACTTTATTGTTATCAAAACAAATAATGTGATATCGAATAGCGTGATAATCAGACAAGTAAGGAGTAGAATAGCATTTGCTTTATTCGAGCAATGATTTGTTCTATATACAAATAAAGACCAAATGACGTGTCCAGTTCGTTAATAAATTCATTCAAAACGATTGAGGTGATGATATTTTTATATTAAGTCTGTGTGCTTCATTTGTTTCGTGAGAATATATGTCACCTATGACTGCTCTAGTAAGTAAGCATTCCTATTGACTATTATTGGTAAGTGAACTGTACACTTGGATATTTCCTAGGTATGAGTTATGAGCTAGCGAGTTTTTTCGTAAAGACAACCAAATCTTTTTACATTTTATTATTGAACGACAACTACACGCATCATATGCAATACTATCATATTTTACTTTAGGGCTGAACAATCGATAATTTAGAAATACCTGACCTAGAACACTGAACTGAATGATGCAATTAATTTGGTTTTTTGCTTCCTTCCTGAATTTACTAGATTGAATGAAACATCCTACTTTGCTGAGGAAGAATATGTCATACTGCGAGATGAAAAACAATCTCAAAGTTCTTAAAATTTGTATGTTCTTAATTTCGAAAGAAAACAACCAGTTATGAAGTTTTTTTGAAAAAAGTCTTATTTTAGGATAGATAGTTTGTTGCTAGCAGTAAACTCAAGGAAGAGTGTTTCGTCTTATTTGGGACTTATCAGATGGATGTTATCCACTGAGAAACTGAGTACAGGTAGCCATCAAATGTTTCAATGGATATCATGTTTATATCACTATTAGTAAGTGTTTAGACTATTCTTTTATTAACACTCACGACATATTTCAATTCAGAGTGATCGATATTTTCGTTTCTCCGTTTTGGACAATTTATACAAGTTACTGAGATAGCCCATACATTATAGATTTATTTCAGTTTTAGAGTCGGTTAAAACTCCATACACTGAACAGAATGTTCCCACTTTGATTTCTAACTCACTTACATTTGCATCCTACCTCGATGAAGAACTCTGTGTAAGTTAATAAAAATCTATCCCTATTCAAGTATTAATGGATTTCAGTAGAATCATTTATTACGTTCAACATAGTATTTTAGTTGAAAGTAACTAATAAAATTACTGTGTATTACGGATTATATACGAAGATACGATGATGTAATTGCTGTATTAAAAACGATGAATAAACAATACATTACTAAGAACTATTAACAACCATTTAAAATGTACTAGTTACATAAATTGCAGATATTTAAGTCTCCAAAAGAATACTCATTAATCTCTACAAATTGTCGATATTTACTTTATATCTTAAAGAAATTGAAATGAAACCTCTATTTTAAAGTTCATTTAGAAAATGAACAATTGTAAAGTATTGATTATTATTTCTCAGAAGTATTAGTATTATCAATTAAGTAAATGATATTACTGTTATACACAGTTTCGATAAGTTACTTTTCATTCATTTACTGTTAGTCATGTATTATAATCAGAAAAGGGTTTTATGGATATTATAGTAATTTAATAGTTGAATTCATGAGTCAATTAAAGCTAGACCATCATAAAAAACCTGGAAGTACTGATTGACTGTTTCGTCCTAGTATGGGACTTTTCAGCAGGGCACATTCATGATCCCGTTCGCGGGATTAGAACCCATAACCTATCGGTCTAGAGCGCAAACGCTTAACCTCTAGGCTACTGAGTTGACAACCAATGGTGTTAATGTCTAATTTCAACCAGTCGACAAAATTACGCCACTGTTTAGTACTTTTGGGTTTTCCATAGTGGTCTAGCTTTAATTGACTCATGAATTCAACTATTAAGTTGTGTATTAACATAAACAAAAGTATAGATAACATCAACTTACAGTTAATTGACTATCCAATAAAATAAGTTTAGCACTATCTGGAACCAGATCATAACAAGGTGTATGTTGAAATAATATAGCATAAGTTTCTGATTCACCTATAAATACAATGTTAGAAAAAATAGTTCTTAACTATAACATAGTTTATTAATAAGAAGACTGACATATTTTCAGTCGTATGGAAATGACTAAACATTAGGAGAGAAATAAAACAAAGCTGAAATTTCATTGATATAATCAAAGTTGATCTGATGGTATTCAAATAACGACTTCATTTAATAATGTATCTAGTTAAAACTACTGATATCTTTTTAATGATTATATCTCTTTCTGAATATTCTGTTTTTTATATGTCCTCAACATATGTAAAAAAGTTGGTGAGGATAACAAATTCATGGTTTAATGCAAAATTATAGAGTGCATTCGTACAATATGAAAACCATGCATTGAATACATTATTTGTACATCTTCGTTCATTTGTCCTTTATATGCTTCATGATTCTTTTGATTCTGTTGTTATTACAATTGCTTTCTGTTTCCTTTCCTGTTCTCTTCAATTCAATCTTCTACTGGCAGATATTCCACTTTTGGTTACTGCTATATATTGAAAAATTCCAATTTATGTTTAAACATGGACATTTCCGAAAAGTTGATAGTATTACCATTGCTACTTAATTTGGACAGCTTTCAGTTGTTTACAAGTAAAAAACCAGGACTTATTAATAGTGCAAAATATAAACTACTTTTAGATCAGAATATATAGCCTTTTAATCTTGTTACAGGACCATCATTACCGAAAAATTTTTTATTAGAAGTCAATAAGTTATTATTTCTTTAGTTTAGAATAGAAAGTCCATATTAAATATTTCAACTAAATGATAGGTAAAAAAACTTATATTTATTATAAAATGAGGAATACTTAAGCTCATTCTACATAATGATTCGTTTGAATCCTAAACTGTCTTCGGTTTACAAAACTCCATCAAAATCATCCACCTGAGCTACAAATCTCCTCCACCAAGTTGAGATGTGGCCACTGGTCTAGGTGACTCAACTTCTCATGCACTATGTTAACATGAGATGGTGATTGAAGATAGTCGACATAGAACCCTGAGTTTAGGTTTGGTGCTATACAGTACTCGTTAGCAAGGCGTACATGTAATCTTGAGGGAACTGATGCTCTTTGACGGATTCGATCACGTGACACCCATCTTTCTAGTTAATAGCATTACCACTGAGCTATCCGGGCCTCGATTAACATGCTGAAAGATTGAGCTGCCTTCATAATTTATTTATCAGGAAGCATCAATTTCCTCAAGATAACAGGCACATTTTGCTGTTGAGCACCAAATAGCACTAAACCTTGGTTCAGAGTTTGTTGTCGACTACCTCCAACTACTACTTCATCGCAATACTGGATTCAACTTTGTTGTAAAGCACTACGATTTGTCAAAATAAGTATTATCAAAATAACTCCAAACAGCAATAGATTTCAGTTGATTGTTTCTAGTAGATAATAAATATCTTTTCAACGAAACAAAAAGCTATATGACAGATGTATTTTACGTTGTAAAAATTAAATACAAATGAGCAGTTTTAATCCATTTGAAGCATTCATATATATACTTGAGAATAAGTAACAGAAATTTCTATAATCACTCGCTAAGGCAGTATATACATATAAATTTGAGCTTTTCATTTTATCCACTTTAAATGACAAAAACAAATACACACTTGAATTTGTTTACACTGAAAGAAATTACATTAAAAATAACCTGATAGATAAAATGAAACAAATCAATGACTGTGATAATAATCATTTAATGATAATTCATTGTATAAATCAAACAGTTAGTCAGTTGAATAGATATTAAGAAGAAAACGTTCAGTGTTAAGAAAACAAAATTCAGAAATATTATCTCATTTGCATAATCAATAAATTCTTACCCATTCCTGTTCCATGTGTTTCCATATATTGTTTAGCTGACTGTAAATTATTGATTGGGTACGTTTGTTAGTATATTCAATCATGAATATAGATATATTTTTGTATAAACATATTATCAATGAATGGGCAAATATATTTCGAATATCAAACATGTGAATAAAAGATTAAAAAGATTATATATGTTAGAAAAGAAAATTATAATAAAATTTTATTTTAATACAATATATATATATATATATATATATTAATTTAAAACAAATTCGGTTAAACAACTATTTGAAAAGTGAAATCATTGAATAACTGGTTAGTCTCCTATACTGTTGGTTATCATGCACTCACTGATGACTAACGTTGAGAGTGAGTTTTCAGAGTTCTAGTTAAAATTGTTGACCAGAGGGGTCTAACCCTGTGGAATGCGGAGCAGGTATGAAATGGTCATGTATAATCATAAAAATTGATTGAAGTTAAACATCTACACTGCTAGATACTGGTTCAGCAGTCTAGAGATTAAGCACTCACATATCAGATCAAAGGTCTTCGGTTCGATTACCTGTGGTAGGATATTGGAGGCACACTGCTGTGGAGTCTGATAATATAACGAAACAAAGTTCAATGCTTATTGGTTTCCAGTAGTTGTCTCACTTAGGTAGATTAATGATATCAACAAAATTTAATAACCTCCACAAATCCCATATTTTCAATGCTATAATGGAAGACATCTGAGTAAACTACGAAAACATAATTCACTTTTGAAATCAGTTGACTCTTATTGATTGAGTATCCGGTTTGTAACTCATCAATTTTAACCCATTAAGTATTATAACTCATCTCCAACATAATTATTTCATCATGTAGTTCATTGAACGAATTTATGCATATCACACTATTTGTGTTATTTGATTGTATTAAAGTTCAATTTGTATCCCTGTTTGATGAATGAAATAACTAAGGTTTTAAACCATACCTAATAATTCCTTTAGGATCACATTTACTTGATCATTACGTAAGGTTCTATCTATCTGTTTAAATCATATAATATACTTGCGATTAACTGGTAAATTTTAAAAGCATGGAATATTAACTATCTAGATATATAAATCAAGAAACTTAGCAGTCATATGACGGGTCGAACTAATATTGTGAAGGTCAGTAGCCTAATGAAGGTAGGTATGGAAAAAGTGTAAAGTAAGGATCTATTGATTAGGTCAAATCTAACAAAACTTTTAAATTATATGACCATATCCATACCTGCACAATAGCAGTTGGACTGTTGCAGCGATCACTAAAGTTAACTGAAATCTATTCGAAGTCAAGTTAAAAGTGATTACCTATTTGCTATGAACAAAACATACAGTGATAAAAATTAATATTTTACTTAAAAAATAGGGTACAATTACTAAAAATACTATTACTAGAGCAGATGTTTATCATTCATATTTTTTCGAGTTCATTGTGAACTAAGGTTATCTAATATTTAAAAAACGATGTAAGAAACCCTTCAACTTTGAAATGTAGTTATCAAAAAGTACATAAAAATGCTTCTTGAATCCTGATTGGATGGATCTGAATACAGTAATTGATCGTTATTTCAAGTTAAATGATAATACATGATAATTGTATGTGAATAAGTTATTTTTAACATGAACAAATTATTTTTCTGTTTTTTTTAAAGATTATTTTTAGTTGAAACGTAAACTGTAGTGTCAGTTATTATGGCAAGCCCATATACCTTATTCTAACTTCCGGACATCCTATTTTATTCATTTTACTTGAGCCATATTTTGACCTTGTCAATTATTCGCTTATTAGCCTTGACTGTTTTCACATGAGCGTATATGTGTGTACACTTCACGTCCCATGATTCATTGTATGTCTGTAGCTTATTTTGTCTGACTATAAATATGGAATAACACTTGACTAAAACGGAGTTGGCTTCCCAGCCATCTTCCATACGTGTCATTTTTGATTCGCTGTGCTTCATTCGCTCCATGTACGAAATATATGTATTCTCAAGTCAATTCTCGTTATTCGACTTATTTAATTCCGTTATTGGATAACGCGATTCAAGTCAACGAAGATATACGAGAATAGGCGATAGCAAACATCTATACGATCTTGGAGTCAGATTCTCGGGCCACTAAAAAACAAATGAATCAGCAATCTTTTCATGGAATTTCATCCGTCAGAATTAGCAAATTCATCACTATTAAAGACATCAGTTTATCACAGATAAGCTATTATACATGTTGAAAGTGAGTACACACATACATTTAGACAACAGAAAGAAATTTGCTTGAAATTCCATATATCATAGACGTTTTGTTGAATTCAAGTGCATGGAGAATCACTGTTTCATGTTAGACCTTTTAAGTTTTGCCAAAAACTATCAAAAATCAGCATAAACGTTTATCATCGTCATGTTCATAAAGTATAAAGTTTGAATTCCTACATGATACGTACTCAATAATTACTAGTCATTTATTATTTTATTAGACATATCCTAAGATTTACTACCCCAACTATACTTTATATTTAACAAATTAACATTATTTCACAGCAAGTGACATTTTATCTACTGAAGTTATAGATATATAACTCTGCCTGGAGCCCCTCTGGGGCTACTACCGGCCCCAAGCCCAGATAAAGGGTTGAGTATGAAGTTAGCGACCCCATCCTGTAGGAAATTGAATCGCTAAAAAAACGCTAAGCAGAAAAAATAATCCATATATATATGAGCGTAAAGTTGACTAGTTTAACCAAAAAATGGAAGAATATCTTTCACGCAATTTACTTCTTTTCATAATAATTTATTCTATTTTATTTAATGTGATTATACATATCTATTTTTAAAAATGAATGAACCAAGATATTTTATTCAATTATACTGAGATCATTTATTTTACAAAATACTAATACATTTTTCTAGAATCATCTCAATCAAACAGATAATATCAAGTATCATTATATATTACTGCATACACAGAACAATCTTGATAATACTGATTTGAAAAGATACATTAAAGTCCCTTTAAATAAAATATTTGTCTAATGGGTAATTAATAGTATCTCAATGATTATTAAACTTCAAAAATGCCAAATTTAATTTTCTGTTATTTAAAAAAAAATAATAATATAATTTAATCCACCACCTCACCACTGATTCAGGATCTGGTTTAAATTTACTTATCATTTTCGATCTAAGTACAGAAGCTGTCAGAATGTGTAACATAGGGATGAACATAATGTTATCAAAATATTCAAAAGAAATGAATGAAATCTATAAAAGTGAAATTCATACAATAATACATTATCAATCATAATACTATTGTGGTGTGTGCTACTTATATCAACATAAGTAGTATATGACATTAGTCTTGAACAGAATGTCTGGCAACAGAGAGGCAAGAGGATTGAACAATAAAGAATGGAAACAGAATGCAATTTGTATGAAAATACAAGAACAATGATGTCTGAGTCATTTTAAGACAATTGATGGACATTTTGCAAACTAAGCATTTACTTTATGATTGTTAGATTTTATTAATAAGTCCTGTAATATAAAAACATATATATGTATATATGTATAACGCTCAAATAATTCTCTTGAGTGTTAAATATTAACATCGCACAAGTATTCAAGAAAGTGAATACATTTTATTCCTTCACATCATATAATAAGCTTTAAGAAGATTTTCATACATCCAACATGTGTTATAAATAACAATCCTCGTCAGAAATCCCTATTTTAGAACATTGTATTTGCACTATGAATAATTCAAGTTAATAACTAATAAAATACAGATGAAATAGTCACTTTACTTCAAATTGATACATGAGAGAAAAAACGTATTCCACACACAGAGAAACTTTATTATTTAATAGTTTGATGTATTCAGTGTTAGCTAATTGGAGATAAGTATAAAATTGTATCAATCATTTACGTAGGGTATTAAGCATATAACTTAGATTTGTTTTTCTAAACATTATCAAAGTAAATAAATTTAGCCTAGGAATTATACATAGATGATAATCAATATTTTTAGCCAAATAAGGTAAATAGTTAAACAGTTTTTTAACCATATAATAAATTCATTAAATTGATTTTGTCATTAATAATAAATCATTAAATGTAGTTGTTATCCAATTTCGTGTTTTGTGCTAAATGCATCGAATTGTTTAGATTTATTTATATGACCTTAAAAAATACATAGAAAATTAGTTGGAAATTAGAATTATTTCCTTTTAACTTTTTTATGCATTGTATCTTTATTCCACATTTAGTTCATTTGAATGATTTTATGAAAGTGAAGAAAAAAACCAGCTTGATAAAGTTGGTAAACATATTACAATTTTTAGTTTAAGGGTTGTGGAGATTGTTAAAATTATTTTTTATTGAGATCATGAATCAAATGATGTCAGACCACCGTTGAAAACCTCGAAGCACTGGATGGCCGCTTCGTCCTATTGTGGGACTCCCCAACGGTGCGCATCCACGAGCCCGCTCGCGAGATTCGAACCCAGGGTCTTCAGTCTCGTGCGCGAACGCATAACCTACTGGACCACTGAACCGGCATCTAATGATGTTAATGTCTAACATCAACCAATCCACGAAACTGCGCGACCATTTTCCACTGTACTGAGGTAGACACCTGTCTCTATCCGATCTCGATCAAAAAATATTACAATTTAATTGATTTGATTTCTGAGGAATTATTATAGAGTTTTCAGATAAGAAATTTGTTGTTATTTACATCATTATCACGAAAAAGTCAGATTTTTCCCATGATGGATATTTGGAACTCAATTTTTATCTGTCCTAGAAATATTTGCATCATGAGCGAATTATCTCGATGATGCTATTTTTTTAAAATAAGTCGATTATGGCTATCGGTAGAATCCAGAACATGGGTTATGTCTTATTTGGGGCTAGTTAACTGGATGGTCTTGGATCCTTGTGTTGATGTTCACTTTGGAACTGAAGCATAATAGCTTTCTCTTTAAATGTCAACACTCTGCCCAGTAATCCATTAAGTTCGGAT